TAATTTTCCCTAGATTTTAACCATTTAAAAAAATGCTTGTGAATTTTTTTTACCAATCCACAAACAGAGCTGCATTCACTATTCCTCTTGTTCTCTAAGAGAAGGGGGAGGGGGTATGTGCCTTATGCTTATATTGCTTAGTGGCATTCCAATCCCAAATTTAATCAATATAATGAATGTCCCTGACTATAAAAACTTGTCCTTTACATCGCCATAAAGTAAATTTGTTCTGTGTCAACAAATCTGATTAATAACTCTAAATTAAGTAAAATAGATTTTGTCGTAGATTTTCTAGTTGACGATTTATTTGAAAAAGTTAGTACTCATGCTTTTGGTTTATTTCTCTCTTCTGCTCATTAAAATAAATTTTACTCTAGTTGCTTAGTGTACAGTGTACAATGTACATTAATCTTGTAAAACAAGAAAATAAAGATTTTAACGTCGCCCTTGGTCCAACATCGTAAATCAGGACCTGCCAATTCTTCCAAGTTCTTCCAGCCAAAATTTTCAAAAACAAGCCGCATCGACATTGACAACACGCATTAAAATTCGTTGTGATGAATCTTATTTTTTCTCCCCCAGATTTTACTAAAAAATTACTTAGATTTTTAGCTGACCTTTACACCCTTTTTAAAGAACTCTTATACTATGTAATGTGATTGACTCTGTATTAAAATACAAAAATAGAGAATCAACAAGCTTTTAGTCTATTTAGTAAAGTTAAGCAACAATAAACAAATCTATTAACAAACAAAAGAGGTTCCCCCCCCCACCTCCCTCCTCATTTAAAAATGCAGCCGTCCCCTCTTCCCCCTCCCCTCAGGAGTTTGATCTGCGACCACCTGACATGTTGATTGAGTCCTGACATAAATATTGAATATAGAATACATATTAATCAACAGATAGTTACCTTTACTAAACCTGCCACAGTTTACACAGATAAAATAAAAAGATGTCGTCAATGCTTAGAATCCGGATTCGGATCTGGATCCGTTGGATACGCAAGTTGCTGGCTTTCTGGATTCGGATCCGGATCCAAAAAATATGCGGATCCACGGATCCGGATCCAAGGGAATATCAACAAATAACTGCAAAAAAAGAGAAATTTTTACTCTAAACTGTTAACAAGTTTTAGCATACAACTTATCAAAAAAATAAAGACAATTCCGCTTTGTTAAAAAAAAATAAGTAAATCTTAAGGAAATGTTCATGACCTGGATGGATCTGGAGGATTCGATGTCGTGTTTACTGTACAGGGGGGACAGACTATGTTAATTGAAAACACATTTGGGTCGCACTAAAGTAAATTTAAAGATTTTGGAATTATTTATAAGAAGTCCAAAGCGTGATTGAATTCCAATTAAAGAATCTCGTCCTGTTTAGTCCATGCAGGGTGATACTGATGAGTTATGATCGGACATACAAACACCCAAATACGTGTATTGATAAAAAAACACATTCGTATATATGTTCTCTCTGGGCGGCCAAACGGCTGGACCGGATGGGCTGAAATTTTTTGTGGACACTCACGAGTCCTAAGGGTGACATAGGCTAAAAAATCTAAATTATTATTTTTTATTTCCACGGGCAACGCCGGGCCCTTCAGCTTGTAATATATATTCATGTATAGATGAAGATTTGGTTCTATAATAAATTCAAAGAAAAAAACCTCACTCTCTGATTAGATTTTTGAAAAGGAAAAAAATTGGTGGAATCTCTGAAATCCGCATCTAGAATTACATTTGGACGGATTTTGGTGTGAAAAAACGAAGAAAATCAACCGGAATGTGAAAAATGTTTATTCTCATGAGAAATTAAATCTAAATAAACAACGAAAATGAAATAGATGCTAATTTAGAATGGAACTTTTTTTTACAAATTGGGTTTTTGTACTTTTTAGCATCGAAAATCCAGATTTGTGACAAAGCAGTAAAAGACCTAATTTTGAAAAATATTATGAATTATAGTTGAGCCGTGGGCCAAAACTGTCACATGTCCCCCCTCCCAACCTAAGCAAGAAAACTAGAGTCGCTGAACTAGTCATCCAGAGCGCTTCACACACTCTTTTAAATTCTTAAAAATGTTGATTTTTTTATATTTTATATTTGTTATATGATGCCGCAAAAAAATAAAAATAAAAGAGCCAATTGTCTTATAGGGTTTCATATATTCCGGATTTTTTCCCCAAGGAATTCCTGGATTATTCCGGATGAGATGGAAACCGGATTTTTTAAAATTCCGGAACAGGGTTTTATGAAATTTCTAGGTAACGGGGAAGAAATCGGAATTCCGGAACACTTAACATGATGGAAAAGTCGGATCATTTCCGTAGGTAAATCGTAAACCGAAACCCCGTTGTAAACCCTACTTTCAGCAGTCTTTTTTTTCTCCATAAAACGTATCAATGAAACAGACAAGATTTGAAATTAAACTCTAAATATATCCTTGTATCATAAATTAAACTCTAAATATATCGGTTTCAGCCAGACTGACATATTTAAACAAAAACAGATTAAAAGTAAGAATGGAGATGATGTGAGATTTTTTAAAGATTTAACCTCCCTCAACATCAAGTAAGATTTAAATTGTGTATATACATATCAAATAATAAGAACTTTGTATAGATTTTGTAAAATCTACTTTAGCAAAAATACCTATTTTTGCCGATCTATTGATTGTATTGTAAAATATACACTGCAGGGACTTTTTAAACATTTGACCGGATCAGTGCTAAGAGGAGTCAGAGCAGAATGAAAAATGATAATTTTATTATTTGAAATATTTTTTTCTCGCGGATTTTCTAAGTTTCTACCCCTATATCCAACCCTGACAAACCTGTATGGCGCCCCTAGTTGTATGTATTGTATGTGTACAATATAAATATTTCTGGGTGAATTGATACAAGAGACCTGAAGCCTAAAGCTTAGGAAACTCACGTTGACATCACCTAACCCAATGTGAGTGAAACTAAGGTTGGTGGGACTGTTTTTGATTTACATTTAACGGTTACGTGTTAAGACTGCTAAAAGACGTTAATTCCTTATTAGAAATATGGTGATATTTGTTTATAATCTTTGTAAATGATTCCTATGCAATCCTTTTACGTCACAGTAAAAATTTGTACACAAACCATATCCCCTACCCTAGTTCTACTTACTTACATTGACGTATTTATTGTATTCAGGCGCACTACCAATACATCTTAAAGTTTTGGTGAAAAATTTATCAATTAATGATTTCTCAAATATTTTTTCTTTCCCTTTATTTTTTATTTTCGGTATAACAATTTCTTCTAAAAACATTATTTTCTCTGGGAAATATTCTATAGACATTGGTCTAATCCAGGTTTAGATCTCTGTACTTCTAGTTCATTTAACATGGACGGATTTCATGTTGAAAATGAAAAGATTTTTGCGTAAAAACATTTGTAAATCATCCTAAACACCGACATTGGTCCCCCACCTGTCAAAATATACCGCTAAAAACTTAAATATAAGAAAGGCACCTGACACTTTGAACTTGCACTTCAAAGCAAAAAAATGGGGGGTTAGTGAGTTTATGTAATGGACGGGNTCTATCAATCTATATATTTGGAAAGTGTTTATGTTTTTGAAGAATGCTTGAAAATTTTGAGTTATACTGAACTAAATAAGTTTTATATTCTACAAGGAAACTCGTTAAACATTTTTAATTTTTCAAAAAAGAAAATATTTTTTTTCTCTTTCTGCTTTCTTTCTAATGAATAAAATGTGGAGCGGATTATCAAAGCAAAGAAATGAAAGATTATGGTTTAGATTTTTCCTGATTTGTAAATAAAGATTTATTGAAATAATGATAAGAACTGTTGTGAATCCTTACAAGCACACAGTGGACCTTTCGATTCTGCACTAGAAATATATAGGCCAGGGAACCCTTATTAAGGCTTTGAGGGCCCTTATTTAGGCCTTGAGGGCCCTTATTTAGGCCTTTAGGGCCCTAATTTAGGCCTTGAAGGCCCCTTTTTAAGGCCTGGAGGGCCTTAAGGCCCCTTTGTTAGGCCTTGAGGGCCCTTATTTAGGCCTTGATCGCCCCTTATTTAGGCCTTGAGGGCCTCTTATTAATGCCTTGAAGGCCCCATTTTTAGGCCTTGAAGGCCCCTTGTGAGAATTCCAGAAATATCTCCGTTTATTCTGTAAGATTTTGAAAGACGTTGACAGCGAGACTAAAATGTGAAGAAAAATACAGGGTTTTTGTGATAAACGCCTTCTCTGATCCATGGACACGCCCACCTCGAGGCTCGTATATGACTGGACCAAAATATGTTAATTGCTATCTAACCCCAAAATGATAGCACTCCCCAATCCTTCCCCTTTTTACAGGAATTCATGCATATATATATACTTTTTACTTAAACAACCCATTCTTCATTACTATTTTAATAAAACTTAGAAAATTATTTAAAATAACATTTTGGTTAAAATCTGATGATCGAGCAAGAAATTGTCCCCAAGTGTGCTAAAAACCTGTAACTTATGGAATTTTCTGAATTATTTTCTTTGATGTAGAATACTTACAATATACAATATATAAAAATATACAATATATGATATAAAATAATATATTAAAATATATAAAATATATTATGTATATAAAATATACTAATATTTTCACTGCAAACTAGACAAAGGAGGTCAAATTTATGTGATATGACTGGTATGACTTTGTGACCTCGTAGCTCCTATAATTTAATTTAAAGTGTGGAACATGTCAAAACATTGTTTATCCTCTAAATAGCTCTCCAATAACATCATTTAAACAATCTATTTAATTTAGTTTGACTTGTTTTTATATATGTAAACTGGTTTAAGATTTGACGACAATTAGTGAATATAGAACTAAAAGCAGAAATACAGAGATCGGATTTAGAGTTAACGAGAAATAGCTTTAACATGCATAAAGTCTTTTTTTAGAATTGTCACTTTAGCAATTTCCAGGACTTTTGTGGAAAAACATCAATTTACCTGACATTCTCTTGCAGTTTTCTAGTTTCATCAGCAATCAGTTGTATCAGCTGTATATCCCGCAATCACTTTAATCAGCTGTGTACAACAGAACTTTCAACTAAAATATAATACGTTAATTTATTTTAAAAATTATTTTTGTGATGACTAACTTTTTGATTTATATTTATTTTGAAAATAAAAAAATTTAAAGAATATCTTAATGAATATAAAATCTTATTATTTTTAGCGTTTTCAGCAATAATTCATTTTAAATAAACGTACTATTTAACACCTGGCTTTAGATTTTTTATAATTTTTTACTACTCATTCTTGGTATCAATTACAGGACATCAAATAAAAAATTCATGAATTTTTATCATCAAAAGCGCTTTTTTGGTTTGCACGATAATAATTAAGGTGCAATGTGCCACGAAATTGTCAATAATATTTGAACATGCTTTTCCATAAAATATATTATAACATAAATATAATATTTGAAAAATTCAATTAACTTGTAATCACATGTTGCCCCTTTTTAGGATGCAGAGAGTAGGAATTTGGGCTTTATAAAATGATACAATAGACGAACAGGTGGTATATATACATTGTAACATTTTATTTTGGTTTACAGCATACACAACGCACCCTTGCATTAAAATAAAATAACTGCATTACCACAAACTGTTCAGTCCAGTACACACGTGGATTTACGCGGTTCTGTCAATATTTCAGAAAGCTGTGGCTTTCGATCAAATATTTTAGCCTTTTTTCTAAAATACTTTTTTGTACGCATATACACTTTGAATGAAAAAGTATAAAATAAACAAATCCGTAAACTTAAAGACTGTTGAATTATAGGCCAAAACACGTTTGATTTCAATTAAATGAAACAGAATGCTTCTCACTCTGGTTAGTCCGGGTTGTACAGTAATTAACTGTACTGTAAATTGTTATCATATACATCCAAAAAAAAGTTTAAATGCAAATTTGTAAAATTTCGGGTCAAAAAATATCCAAGTCACCCTGTGCCTCAAGGGAAGAGGCATTTTCCACTCCCTCCTCATTTTCTATTCAAAAACCAAATTCAGCTTCTCCCCCTTCCTTCAATGAGACACTAAAAATTCTTGAGAAAAAATGTCTTTGATGGTTCGGTATTCTGAAAAAAAACGTTGAAATGTAATAAAATACAACGCTTTCAATTTAGTAATTAAATCTAATTTAAAGTGCGAAAACAAAAAGATTTTTGGAAAACTAAATTTATCATTTAAAAAACAAACATTTAATTATTTAACCTTACTAGGAAGTAAATACGTATTTATTACTAACCTTATAATTTAGATTTAAGCTTAAACTTCGCTCCTCAGCCCCTGTAAACCCTAGTTTTTGTCAATTTTGATGTCCAGTCCAAGGGTCCGGGGGAACAAATGAGAACTGAAGCAAAGTGTGGAAGTAACGTTTACGCGAATGGTTTGAGTAAGCTGCGCAACACAATGGGCTGGGCAGGGGCGGGGCTAGAGGGGGTCCGGTGCGTGGGAGAGTGTGTGGCCCAGGTGTTAAAGAAATTGTAATTATAATTCGGGGATGGTGATGGACCATGCAAACCTCTGTAGAGTAAAAAAAGTAGATGTTAATTCCACATTTATTGAAAACAAATTTCGGTCTGGGTTGACCCTCGTCAGTTGATCTAACGATGTCATACCCATCAAAATCAATAAAAAAAATGGTTGAAAACCACAAGAAAAAAACAAACAAAAAAGATTATTAAAAAAAAACTCGGCTGTCAAATGTACAAAAGGGAAGCGAACTCAGATCATGAGATGGAAAAAAAGATAATTCCCTTTTAAAAAAATGTTTTTAGACAATTATTATTCCTTGTGATTGTTCTTGCCAGGAAGTTTAAAAACAAACTGTCGACATGTGTATAAAGTGGTTGATCTAATTAACTAACTTTTAAGTAAATCGAGGGAGGGGGAGGGGCTTGTTTAAGGAGGGGTATTTAAACCTTTAAAAATATTGGACATGAACAATACTCTTTTAAAAAAAGATACTGAATTACAGTTTACAATTAAATAAAAATTATTTTTTTTCTGTTTATTCCTTTGAGTTCAGTCATAAAATCTCTAATTTATTTAGATTCTCGTACTTCAAGTAAACTTCTTCCGAGGTCCCAAACCTTCTCTAGAACGCTAACTTTTAGATGGGAAAGTTCATGTCCAGGAAGGTTAAAATGTTCTCCTGTAGGCTGGTTTGTATGGAGATTTCTAATGTAACCAATATGTTCTCTCACTCTTTTATCTAAAGATCTTGTTGTCTGTCCTATATATTGTAGTTTACACTGCTCACATGTAATACAGTAAACTACATTTCTGGTCCTACAGTTGAAAGTTCCATTAATCTCAATCTTCTTTCTGGTATTAGAGGGTTTTATAACTGGAATTCTGGCTCGGATGAGTTTGTCCCTGAGTTTATCCCTGTAATTAGTTAATAACTTTGATACAGTTCACAAGTGCCCAACTCTTTCATTTGTACATTTGTAAAAGATGTAAGTAAAAAATATTTTATTTATGAGTTAAATTTTTTTATTAACATGAAAGGAATTGGGTCCATAGTCAAAAACTCAATTGTTCTAATCCCTATATCTTTGCAACTTGATGGTATGAATCTTTCATATTTTTAGCTTAGATTTTTTGATTTAACAGAATTTATAGAAAGCACTTTTTAAGGTCTACGACATTGGGTTACACAGATAAAGGGATTAGAAAACCAGAGTTTGTGGCAAAGATTTTATATCTGTGTCTTGATATTTTTCCCTAAAGCTTACTTTGCCTCGAAAACAGAAAATCTACAATAAAATATTCAATTTTTGAATAGGATAACTACATACAATGAAAGTACCCTGCTAAAGCAAGTTGTACAGTGTACAGTACAATTACAGAGTATGTATGGCAAACCGGTACGGTAGGCTCCAAATGAAGGATTCACTTCTACTAAAATTTATGTGCTACAGTGATAACTTTAAAACTCTCAAATAAAAAGACGACTTTTAGTTTAGAATAAATTTATAGATCTGAAAAGTCCAACGCTCATGAGAAACAGCAGTTTTGCAAACAGACCCACTCACCCACTTCACTAAATTAGTAATTTGATAAGTGTCTAGTAAAACTATTTGCTTTGTAACAACATCAAATTGCTAAAATATCGTATTCCTATTCTGTTGTTTTCTTTCCGGTTATCACTGTAATAAAAAAATTGAAAAAATTGAAAACTAGAGGATTTACAATTAAACAAAATATACATGGTTTGAGGTATCAAAAAATCAGTTTTTATTGTACTGCATAAAATTTACAAAATGCTCTTTTAAATGAGTCCAGAGCCCGCAATTAAAAAAAATTGGGAAAATACTGCTGTCATTGGGCCTTATTTACCGCTTGAGCTTTCGGATTCAAGCCGCATCTTATTTTCCACAGAGTTGAATTAAAAAAAACGGTTTAATATTCTTTTTAGCGGATTTTCATGGTAGGAAATGGCGTTTTTAGGGTTTTTAGGAGGACAAAACTCAACATTGAGCCTTATTCTCCACTAAAACCAACCAAGGTCGGTTTTATTTTCATTGGACCTAACTCCTTAAGTTGAGCCGAAGATCTTGCAGCTGTCATTCATGTGACACAAGCTGTCGTCAGAGTTGGATCGAAGATTTGGTCTCAAAATCGGGTTTCAGGAATTACGGCTAGCGTTTTTAAATCGTAGGCTCAGGACTCAGGATCCATTATTTGTGTACCCCTTTCCTTGACCCATGCATATAGAACGAGGTAGAAGGAGAAAGTTAAATTTTTGCGACTTTAGTTGACCGACTATGTGACCTCTTCGCTCCTCTAGTTTTGATTTTACGCACAATTATGAGAAAAGCAAATATATCCGCTGAGGTTTTGTAAAATTAAAAACATGTTTGTTCTTCTCTAAATATGCTCTACAAAAAACATAAAAGAATTTACCTTAGTTTGACGTGAAAGAGATAAAAAGATATGTTAACCCTAAAATTACAATACCTATAGTTGCACATATGCGTTTTCGCTAAATTTTGATATTTGTAAATTTTGGGATTCTTTGAATTCTGTGCCCTTTATACCTTACAATACGTTGCCGTAGTACTTTAGCAGTCCCCTAAAGCGGTCTCTCTCTCGTCTTCTTATTCTTTAAAATAGCAAGCACACGGATTTTAAGAATAAGATAGATAATTAAAGATTGGATGGATAGGATGAATGGGATGGATGGGATGGATGGGATGAATGGGATGGATGGGATGGATGGGATGGATGGGATGGATGGGATGGATGGGGATTAGATTGAGGATGGAGCTCCTAGGGGGGGGGCTAAAAAAATGTTCCCCCCCCCCCCTAGAATCATTTCTCTGTACGCCCTTGGTAAGATTGGATACGACAGAACGGATATGACGGGACGGATAGAGAGAAATTGAGGATGGATAGGACGGGACGGATAGAGAGAAAGAGAGGATGGATTTGACGGGACGGATAGAGAGAAGGATGAACCTAATTAAATGAATATAAGGAGAGAGAGAGAGAGAATAAGAATATAAAGTAAGGTTGAGACCAGGATATATTACAGTCAGTTCTAATCCATCTTCACTTACTCATAGGTATTGTTGGTCAAATCATTTTTTTAATTTATGTTAGATTATATTAGGAATTGAGTCTTTGCAACAAACACTGATTTTTTAATCCCTATATCTTTGTAACCCAATGTAGTTAACTCAAACAATGAATTCTGCTAACCTAAATAATCTAATTTTGAAATATTAATATAGGGATTAGAAAAGTTGAGTTTATGGCAAAGACTCCATTCTTTTCGTCCAAAATAAAAATAAATATTTGGAAATCATAACTAGAAATATAAAATGATGATGAAGAGAGAAATCGGAAAGGGGAACGAATTTATGAAAGACATTTTTCGATTATAGAAAAAAACTGATGCAAAAAATCATAAAAGTCTTGTATAAAAATTTGCAAATTCGATTTATAAAGTCTATGATTGCTATCACTATCTCTTTATAGAAACATGGAATAGAAAACAAATGTCCAGATTGAATTGTAATTTTAATTCTTGATATTGAAAATTAAAAGCATTAACTAGCTACATTTAGAAATAAAGTTCGACAAATTTAATCTATTTTTCAATCATAGATTAATAACAATACAGATAGATCACTAGATTTCGTCTTTTCAAGATTTAGGGGTTTCTCGTTCACAATAACCGTGAGACAGAGGCCCAAATGAGTTATGCACTGGCCGCGTTGAATTACAAGATAGAGAGAGAGCATGCTGCGCGCAACTCTTTGGGCTTCTATTTATCTAAATGTTTTTAGGCATCTGCTGATGAGGCAGAGAGTATGCCGCAGAAAGGTTTGACATTTTTTCAGCAAAATAAAAAAATTCTCAATTTTCTATTTTAACAATTTAAACCACATCTATAATATGTATATACTTTGCTTGTCCGTCTGTTTGCGTACAATTAACGTCATTAAAGAATATTGAACCGATCGGGCCCAACTTGTTTTACATCACCCAAGAAAAGGATCGAATTTGAAAAAAACTTTACCTGGAAAAAAATCGTGAATATTTTTTTTATTATAGATAATATTGAACAAAACGGCGGTTTGAAAACCAAAAGTTAAAAGATAAAAAAAACTGCAGTTTTCAGTTATTTATAAGATCTTTAAACAAATTCTCGTATCAATTGTCGTGAATTTGTCTGTTAACTAAAAAGGTTTATATACTATTATCATGATCCCCCCTTCCCCCAGAAAATAAAGAGCCAAGGATAAATTAATAAAACTTTTTATATAAGTTAAAGAATTAGCAACAGATATATTTTTCCACTGAAACATTTGAACTGACACCGTATTTTATTACATAAAGCGGAACTTATAAACATAAATTATACATTCATATCTAATCTTAAATCAAAATTTTAAATCGTTTCCGAGAATTCGACTTGAAACTTGGATATTTTTTCGATATTTCTGCAAAGAAAATAAAACGCAGTAGTAATAGCAAATTAACATCTTTGGTCAAAAGAAAAGACCAAAGGAACTGCGCATATTTGATCCATAGGTTGCAAGCTCCCTCGCTAAAATGTACATGTCTAGGACTACGAAAAATAAAAGTTAGTTCGGGGAGGTAAAATCAATGGACAAAGCGCCAAAGCGATCCAGTCTTTTAAATTCAAACTTTTCCAGAGGTTCAAAAATAATATTTAGAGAAGAATGATTTTGATTTAAAGTCAAGTTTTTTTTATCGAATGAAATAATCTAAATAAGGTTTTCGAATCCTGAAATCCATCTTGTATGCAATCAGTGCAGTGTGCTTGAACAAATGTGCTTATTGAATAGAAACGTGGGGGGGGGNGGGGTTCAGATTTAGAAAATTCCACACAGCTCAACTTGATTCGTTCTACCTATTTCACAAAATTTTATTTT